GAGAGGGAGGGAGAGACAGGCACACCGATGAGACAGAACACAGACTGGCCGCCTCCTGCATGCCCCCCACTGGGCATCGGGCCCACAACCTGGGCCTGTGCCCTGTCTGGGAATCTAACTGGGGACCTCTTGGTGCGGGGTCGACGCCCAGCCCCTGAGCCACACGGCCGGGCACTTTCTTTTCCTTTAATGGCCAACAGTGTCCAGTACATCCTGCACCTGGAGTCCGAGGAAGCTGGAATCTGGCTGAGGAATACGGGGGGCGTCGGGCATGCGGAGCACTTGGGGGCGGAGTGGCCGAGAGCTGAGGCCTGTTCTTCTATCTGAGACTCGGAGACTCGAGACCCCACAACGAGGGACGCAAGGCAGGTGGGAGGACGGGGGGTCGGTCGTGCGGAATGTCTGCCCTGCCCGGCGGGAGGGGCGCGCTGTGGGTGTCACCCCGAGATGTGATGTCTGGGGGGTTGGCCACAGATACCCTCATCATCAGCTCCGAAGCCCATCAGGACGAGCTTACACTGGGACCCCGGTTCCGGCTCTGAGTCGTGCCGGAGGAACTGGAAAGGAACTGGGGAACCCTGGACTGGCTGTACCTCGAGGGATGGGAACTTGGGGGAACTGTTTAAAGGATGAACTTGAGAATTGGGGGGTGAACACATGCTCGGTTTTACGACATCTGTGTTTCTCCGGTCTTCACTCGGAATTCATCATTCTTCCCAAAGTGCCTCCACAGCCCTGGCCGGTTTGGCTCAGCGGTTGGAGCGTCCGCCTGCGGTCCAGAGAGACCTGGGTTCGGCTCCCGCTAAGGGCATGTACCTCGGTTGCAGTTTGTCCCTGGCCCTGGTCGGTCGTGCGGGTGGCAGCCACTCGATGTGTCTCTCTCATGTCGATGTCTCTCTCTCTCTCCCCCTCCCGCTCTGCCTCAAGAAAGATGCAAAAACGTCCTCGGGTGAGGATGGGAAAGAAAGTGCCTGAACGGTGTTGGACACGAGGATGTGCAGCCACTGGGGTCCGAGCAAACGCCACCTGCATTAGGTCCCTTCCCGAGGGCCTGTCCCGGCCAAGAAGCGCCTGTTCCCCGGGAGGACCTGGCTTTGCTGCAGAAGGCGTGGTTCCCACCCGAGGGCCACGCAGAGGCTGGGCTCCCAGGGGCACGTTCCACGGGGATTCCCGGGGGAAAGGTGCGGCCCTCCCCGCCCTCCCCCTTAGCAGGTCCCGTGCTGTGTCCCCACGGTGACCGATGGGTGCGGGTGCTCAGCGGACCAGCCCTGGATTCCCTTCCTTATGGGGTAGGTTTTGCCGCGTGGAAATCCCTCAGGTCCCTCCTGTCTGCCTAGCGGTGCGGGCACAGGGCTCCGGGGGTCGGTGGGCGGTACTGAGACCGGACCTTGACTGAGAACCTGGTGATGGGCGGACACGAGGTGAGAGTGGCAGGCAGGTGGGTCAGACACAGAACCGAAAATGGGGGCGTTGAGCAGAGAGCTGATCGCGAGCGGAGCTCCTGGGAGGCCGCGGTCTCGCCCTGAGGGCCGGGCACAGGCTGCTCTGCCGAGGGGTGACCTGAGCCTCCAGCTGGGCCCTTTCTGGAAGCATCTGCTTAAAATCCCAAAGCCACACAGCTGCTCAGTTTCCTTGTTAATAGAACAAGGGCCAGACCCGCTCACTGGTCCCCAAACGGCACCTGTGCGGATGGTTATCTGACCGGAGCCGGGGGGTCACCTCCTCTGGGCACAGACAGCCCTGGACCGTCCCCTGGCGCGGGTGCCACGCCATGGGCCGGGCGAGCCTGGGCCCTGTGCTGTCCACTGTGCACGGGGAGGGCTCACCTGCCCAGGAGCAGGAGGGGGCCTGGGTCCTGTGCCGTCCGTCCGCTGTGTGCAGGGAGGGCTCACCTGCCCAGGAGCAGGAGGGGGCCTGGGCCCTGTGCTGTCCGCTGTGCGCGGGGAGGGCTCACCTGCCCAGGAGCAGGAGGGAGCCTGGGCCCTGTGCTGTCCGCTGTGCACGGGGAGGGCTCACCTGCCCAGGAGCAGGAGGGGGCCTGGGCCCTGTGCCGTCCGCTGTGCACGGGGAGGGCTCACCTGCCCAGGAGCAGGAGGGGGCCTGGGTCCTGTGCCGTCCGCTGTGCACGGGGAGGGCTCACCTGCCCAGGAGCAGGAGGGGGGCCTGGGCCCTGTGCCGTCCGCTGTGCACGGGGAGGGCTCACCTGCCCAGGAGCAGGAGCGGGGCCTGGGCTCTGGGACGTGTCCAGGGCTCAGAGTCTGACCTGTGTGCCTGCCCTCTGGCTCTTACCAGAGTCACATGAGGAGAACCCGACACAGCGGTGGTGACCTCCCTCTGCTTGACCTTCCCAGGACGGCCCAGGACGGCCCGGGACGGCCCAGGAAGGCCCAGGATGGCCCAGGATGGCCCAGGACGGCCTAGGACAGCCCAGGAAGGCCCAGGATGGCTCAGGAAGGCCCAGGAAGGCCCAGGACGGCCCAGGAAGGCCCAGGACGGCCCAGGACGGCCCAGGAAGGCCCAGGATGGCCCAGGATGGCCCAGGACGGCCCAGGAAGGCCCAGGACGGCCCAGGAAGGCCCAGGATGGCCCAGGATGGCCCAGGACGGCCCAGGATGGCTCAGGACAGCCCAGGACGGCCCGGGACGGCTCAGGACGGCCCAGGATGCCAGCATCCCCAGGGCTGGCTCCTTCTCAGTGCGCAAACACTGGTGTGTGTGTGTGTGAGTGTGTGTGTGTGTGTGTAGGGTGGCGCAGAGACAGGCGAACCTGCGGAACCTAAAACCCCTGCTCCCTGGCCCTCGGCAGAGACTCTGCCCACATCTGGATCAGGCTCCCTGGCCCTGGGCAGAGACTCTGCCCACATCTGGATCAGGCGACTGCTGGGCCATTCAGCTCCCACACCCCTAATTCTGCGACCGAAGAACCGACAGCCCCGCGGTCGGTGTTCTTTCAAGAAAACGGCTGGGACACGAGTCAGGGAGGTCACAGCCCTCTTGCACGTGGTCCCGCAGAAGGAGATGGAGGCTCGAGGTTTTGCTGTTTCCCGCAGCCCCGCCTGCACCGGGATTTCTGTCCCGAGGCAGCCGCAAGGGCGGGGACACATGAGGACGCTGTGGGCACAGCTGCAGCTGGCCTAGCGGGGGGGGGGGGGCAGGAGGCCCCTGAGAGCCCCTGAGAGTGGCTCCGCATCCCCCCCCCACGCTCCCGACCCTCCAGTCGGTGCCCTGTTCTCACGCCGAGAGGCACAGAGGCGCAGACCCGACGGCGCTCCCCGGGTCGGAGAAGGCACAGGAGGCACAGGAGGCACAGGAGGGACAGGTCACCTCATCCGTCTCTGTGTCGGAGCTGAATGCGCCGCTGTTCAACAGCGTAGCCCTTTGACCCGTCTCTCTGCCAGGCGGAATGTACCCGCGGCCCGCGCCAAGGTCATTAACACTCTCCGGGGCTGGAGACCGGAGCCAGACAGGAGGCGCTCACTCCGGCTTCATTAAATACTGCAAACATTAAGCGGGCTGCTCAAAGTCACCGCTCTCTGCTCGAGCCAGTGCCCGGTGCCCGGCACCCCCGCCTGGCGGCTCGTCCCGGTGCTGATGAAACCAAAGTACCTCCAGCAACCTGCTCGTGTCCGGAGCCTGCTGTAGAAGTCATGGGTGACGTGCAGTTTTAAGCGTCGTTAACGCCTACCAGCGGTCACAAAGCGTAATTGTCACTGAGCTACGAGGTCTCCGGGGCTCACAGGGGAGAGCTGTGTCCCTGGCAGGTGTCACCGGGGGGTCAGGGGTGTGATTCCAGGGGTGCGGTTCTCACTGTGGAGGGCAGGCCCTGAGGGGAGGTTCCTTCTGTGCAGATGTTTTCTGGGTCGATGTGGGACTCAAAACGCACTTGTTATAGACACACACCGACGACGGTGACTTATGAGTGAGCAGGGACCAGCAGTTTGAGGTTGACATGGGGGCCAGGCAGGCACAGGGTCGGCACGGTTCTCTGGGCACCGGGCCCGTACCTTGACCCTGGACGGTCAGCCTCCAGAACCGTGAGCAACCAGTGTGTGCTCAGGCTGCCGTTCCAGTGTCAGGCCGTGCACCTGGACTGAGCTGGAGGCCACGTGTGCACAGAGACGACCCTGGGCTCAGCATGCAGCCTGGCGCCGAGCGGCCAACGACACGACAGCGGCGGCCTCAGGAGCATGGAGGGGTTATAGGGGTTCAGAACGGAGCTCCTGGCTCGGAGTCCCAGTTCCTTCATAACGCACACAGCTGGGGTCCTCTGGCACCTTAGGGACCCCGTGGTGGGAAGGCTCCCACAAGGTGGGCAGGGACCCAGGACAGCGGCTCACTCGGACTGGCTCCTTTCGGAGGCTTGAACCCGTCATTTCTTCCCAGCTCCGCCCACCTCCAGGCAGAACAAGGCTCTCGGCCGACGGAGTGAGTCAGAAACCTGCGCACGTTCCGGGGGCCCCAGGAGTCGCCTCCTGGTACAATACAGCCCCCCCGACACGCCTCCTGCCCTCAGGCCGAAGAGCTTGGGTCCTGGAAAGCCCCGCACACCTGGCCACCAGGTGAGCGCTCAACACTCCAGCCTCCTGCAGACGGCCCGCCGCTCCCTGACGCTCCAACAGGCATCTTTTCCATTAACTGAACCTCAAGAAGCGGGAGTTTAATTTGTAGTGAAGGTGAAAGGAAAAGACAACGGCCAACACCAGGGGCAGTGGCGACCACACGACCACAGCAACCATGGCAACCACACGACCATGGTGACCACGTGACCACGGTGACCACACGACCATGGCAGCCACAGTGATGACATGACCATGGTGACCCATGACCATGGCATCCACATAACCACAGCGACCACAATACCACAGTGACCACATGACTACAGCAACCATGGTAACCCACAAACCATGGCAACCACACAACCACGGTGACCGCGTGACCACAGTGGCCACGTGACCGTGGCGACCACACGAGCCCGCTCCGTGGGCCCGTGGCGTGTCTCACCTTCGTACAGCCAGTCGCTGAGGCCGTTGTAAATGACGCCCTCCTTCCCAGTCGAGACGACACGGATGGCCTGCTTCCCGACGTGTGCACAGTAGTAGATGTTGTTCTCAAAGATGAATATCTAGCGTGGGAAGAGAAAAACCCAGCGTTAACCCAGAAAGTGGCTATACAGAGGGTGCTCTTGGAAAGTCCCAAACCAGCCACGTGGTTCGCGTTCGCCTGTGCCTTTATCTGAGGGACAGTGGGCGTCTCGGGTCCTGTGGGCTTGCCCACGGCAGACAGAATCACGTTTCAGTTTCTTCGGAGACTCAAACTCCACGTCGACCTGACAGCGCACCCCACGTCATCATCCCAGGACCGGACAATGTGTCCTCTGACCTTCGGGTACGTGGACACCAACGCGCGTTGACTGGTTTGGCCAGCACCCGTCCCCAGCCACGAAGACCGGCGGGCTGGGAACCCGGGAGTCTGGGATTCACCCCGTAACCATCATCACAATTTACCTGGCGGCCCCTGCTTGTGCAGTGATCCACGGGGCGAGACACCGAACCTGCTTTTATTCCGCCTGCAAGCCAGTGAGAAAGACGCACAGACAGGAAGTGTTCCTGTGGGGGTGGGTGGGGCTCTGGGAACAACACGGGCCCTCCTCCACTCAGGATGTCCCAAGACAGGGACAGAGGAAACCTGTCTCATTGTGGAAAGTATACACGGCCCGAAGGGATCCCCTTGCGCATTTCTCAGGACGCCGCTCGGCGGTGCGGACGCAGCCACACTGCTGTGGGGACATCACCACCGTCTTCTCCAGGCCCTGTCGTCACCCCCGAATAAATCCCCGTCCCCTCCTCCCAGCTCCCGGCAGCCCCTCGACTCCCCGTCCCCACGGATCCGACACTCCGGGGACCTCGTGTAAGGGGAAGCGGGCAGTCCTGTCCCGTTGTTCAGCCTCTCGCCCCACGTGCGGTGCGGCAGGTGTCAGAGGTCTCTGAGAGGCGATTTTAAGCGGGGACCTGAATGAGGAGCAGGATGCAGATGGGGCTGGGAGTTGGTCACACAGAGGAGGCAGCCTGGAGAGAGGCAGAGGCTGGTGTGGGCAGGGCTGTGGCAGGACCCGGAGAGCCCCCCGTGGACTGTCCCATGGAGGGGGCTGGACTAGAAGCCAGCAGCACCGGCCGGCTCCCGGGAGCCCTTGCCAGAGGCTTGGGAGGGGGCACAGGAGGGTGAGACTCGAGTCCTCAGAAGGCCAGCCTTGTGGGCAGGAAGACCGTGGAGGGAGGACCGGCAGGAGTCAGTCCCTGTCGTCAGACGTCATAGCCCAGCCAGCCAGGTGAGCGGACAGATCGCTGCCTGTGGGCAGTGCCCTGGGGTCTGGGTGACACCCTGCAACGAGGCAAAGTCTGTCTGGGGCTCTTCTCGCAGGCACCGGGTGACGGTGGCCCAGTTACAGAGTTGGGGTGACTGGAAGACCCTATAGTTCTGACGCCGGGCCAGCCACAAACTCTCTGGGGGACGGGGGTGGCCTTCGTCAGTGGCTCTCGAATTCTGATGCACATTAGAATGATGTGGGGACTTAAAAGTCCTAATGTCCAGTATGGCAGCCTGGCCCAAGGAGCGGCTCTGGGGGTGAGGCCCAGGCATCTGAATCTTCAAAAACCCCCTGGGTGAGACCTGTGTGCAACCAAATTTAGGAACTAGTGGCCCAGGGAAAGTCGGATCCCCTGAAGCTCTTTGGGTGCCGGGCTGCGAGGTGCATGTGTCCTCTGAGGTATCAGTGGGTTTGCCTGTGCCTCCTGTCCCTCTGCCCCCCGCCCCCCAGCTCCGCTGGAGCACCTGCGGTCCCTCTGCAAACACCTGGCGTCCGTGGACTCCGGCTCTGCACCAGGAACGACATTCACACCAACTTCCTTTTCTTAAAAGGGTTTTTATAGGGCCCTGGCTGGTTTGGCTCAGTGGTTAGAGCGTCGGCCTGCGGACCAACGAGCCACAGGTTTGAGCTGGTCAAGGGCACGTACCTCTGTTGCAGTTCGTTCCCGGCCCTGATTGGGGTCAGGCGGGAGGCAACCAGTTGATGTGTCCCTCTCATGTCGATGTTTCTCTCTCCCTTCCTCCCACTCTATCTGAACAAAAAAGGAAAAATATTCTCGGGCGAGGATCAAGAAACTAAATAAGTAAAAATAAAGGGTTTTTATAGATTTTTTACAGAGAGAGGAAAGGAGAGGGAGAGAGAGAGAAACATCAATGTGAGAGCAGAACATCGATCAGCTGCCTCCTGCACGCCCCCTACTGGGGATGGAGCCCGCAGCCCAGGCATGTGCTCCGACCAGGAATTGAACAGGTGACCCTTTGGTGCACAGGATCATGCTCTAACAATGAAGCCACAGTGGCCAGGGCTCAAACCAACTTTTTATGTTTTGTTAGTTAATTTATTTTAGTTACAGATGTCCCCCCCCACACCCTCCTCCGGGTCCCGCCCCGCCCCCGGCATTGTTGTCTATGTCCACTGGTTACGCACATGCGCATGTAAGTCCTTTCGTTCATCTGATCCATCCCCCTGCGCCCCTCCTCTGAGGTCAAACCAACGTTTTAAAAGAAAACCTACAAAACATTGTCAGGATCATCGAAGAGACCATCGAGAGAGGGGATTTTGCACAGTAAGGGAAATGGGCTTATTGACATTTTTATTGACGATGCCAAGGAGGCCGTTGGCCTGGCCTTTCTGTCGCCAGGAAGGACCTAAGAGGACCACCAGGTGCCCCTGGAGCAGACACCATTCTCTTCAACCACAAATGAGCTGGAAGTCGTCCAGACACGAGGATTCCTCCTCCTTTCATTTCAGTAGCTGCCATGACGAGTTTGCCGAAGGGTCGGATATATCACTCACAACTTTGACGCCTTTTATGCGTGCTAAGCCTATAATGCATTTGGAATCAAAGGAGGCGGTAGCCAATTAATATTACGAGAACGTGACTCGGCTGTGACGGTCACGAGCTCCCTCCTCCGCGTGGCTGTGTTTCCCACGGAAGGAAGCGAGAAGAGAACGTTCCGGGGAGGAGCCTGTGTGCTCTGAAGGTGTTCTGCGTGTTCCTCCCGACCTTCAGTTGCGGTGTCCGCACACAGGGTGGCGCAAGAGTTCCGTCTGGGTACACAACGCCAAACCCGGAGGGCAGATGCCCTGGGACCTGGGGCGAGTCCTCGGCTGGGCTTTTCACGCTCCACCCAGGGCTGTGCCCCAGGTGAACACAGGCACGCGTGGTCTGTTCCGGTCCCCTCAGGAGCCCTTCGCCTTCCCAGGTGACCCCTGGATCCGTCCCACTGACTGAGAACGTGGGGGCGGCAGCCCCTCCCCTGCAGGGGACTTCTTTTCATAGTGAGTTTATTGGGGTGACTCCGGTTAATAACATTCCGTCCGTTTCAGGTGTACGGTTCTGTGACACACCACCTGTATATTGTATTGTGTTCACCACCCAAGGCAAGTCTCCTTCCATCACCATCTGTTCTCCGTCTACCTCTTCTCCCTCCCCACCCCCGCTCCCCCCCCCCGGTGATCCCCACACTGCTGTCTGTGTCTATGAGGGTTTTTTTCTTGGCTGAACCCCTTCATCTTTTCCACCCAGCCCCACCCCCGCCCCTCTGGCAGCTGGCCGTCTGTTCTCTGTATCTGTGAGTCTGTTTCTATCTTGTCTGTCAATTCACCGTGTTCATCAGAGTCCACAGAGGAGTCACATCACATGGGACTTGTCTTTCTCCGACTGGCTTGTTTCACTTGACCTCGATTCCCCGAGACTGGCGCCCTCCCTCACTTCTGGGCCTGGAGATTTGTTCCGACCCCCTCGCCGTCGAAGGCACCCCTGGGGGCAGCCCCAGCACGTCCCGGCCGCCGGCCACCCCGCGATTCCCAGCAGAGACGTCACGGAGTGCACCCCGAACGCACCGGAACTAGGCCGTGAAGCATGCGTCACTGTTTGTACAAACACATTCCGCTGTCATGGGTCTGAATGGTTACGAGCAGTTTTGACCCAACCTGGCTCGTGTGTTCACGGGGACAGTGACCCTTAGCAAAGGAGACTTGTGTGGCGCAGACTGTGTAGAAAGACTGCCGGACACAAGGTGCAGTCGGTGTTTTCAGGCCGTAGCCTGGCCTCGCCCCAGATGGCACCCGCGCACTAACGGTCACAACACATCTGCAGGCCCCTGTGCTCCGTGCCCCCCCTCAAAGATGCCCCGAGGTGCTGGGGATCCCACGGGGTGACCACCGGAGGCTATATACGGTCCGCACCTGCTCGTCTGGCTCTGCTGCTCTGTATCTTGGCTGCTTTGCCACTCAGTGGGTAGGGAAGTGTCCCCTTCTCCCCGCGTGCGACTGTATTTGGAAAACGGATCCATGGGGGGTTGGGGGGAGCAATGCCGCTGATGAAGGGGAGCTTCTATGGTCCTTGGTGGTTCTCATCCAGTTCGAGAGCACCGCCGTCCACCCCACAGGCACCCACCTGAGCACCTGGACGTGCGGGCGCCACGCACTCGCTGAGAGAGATTCGTCTAAGCTGCGCAGTGAACGCCACCCCGAGCTCATGCTGCGCGAATTCTGTGCGTTCCCAGCCAACACGGCACCTGGATGCAGAACCCTGGTCCCTGCCCGGGAGCTGCGGGACAGCACCGCCACGTCCCCATGTGGACTCTCCCATCCGGCAAACACGGGTGCCCCCGGGAGGGAACGGGGCCGCTCACGGGAGGGAGACTTGAAGGTCGCGAGGCGCCTTTACAGGGAACACATTGCTAGCGGAGTCGGTGTGATCAGCCCACCCGATCCTGGGCACAGAGGCCACGGTTCCAATAACAGGGTTCGGGGAGCCCCTCACCTGGCTGCTTCTCTCTGCCTTTTCCTTCAACATCAGCGAATCAGGTGTCATCGGATCCCCACTCAGGTGAATGGATGCAGGCTGGTACCAAAGGGCGAGGCCCAGCGGCAAGAGAGAGCGTCTCCTAGATCACGGACAATCCCTCTTCTTCCCGGGGAGACGGAATCTGTCATCCCGTCCACCCGGGGGGCGACGAATGTCCAAAACACAGACCCCCGTCGAGGGGCCTTCACAGGTTCAAGGAAAAGCGTCCTCTCCAACCCCCGCC